AGACGTATGAAATCATACATGGCTTAATCAACTTAGAAGGAACACAGAGAATCATAGCAGAGGACTCTGTAAATAGTTTAGACCTTATCTTACACTTGCTTTGCAAACAGATGTTCTGATCAGAGGAAGACACTGCCCTTGCATGTACTGGCTTTAGTGATCAGAGAACAGATGTAGAAGAGACCCACTGAGCAAAAGCTTCAGTTCTCAATTAATTTGTTTCAGGATAGCTTCATTCAAATGTTAGATCCTCTTCTATATTATGTCAGCACTGCTCCACACGTCTGTTATGTGACTGAAGCTCTAGGCCTGCTCCATTTCCTTTGCAGTCTATTGTTCAGCCTGGATGACAAAATGAAATAATCTCTCATTATCTAATTTATATCCTTCTTCATGCCATTCAAAACACTCCGTTTTCCTCATCTGAATTTAAGGCTTCCCACTTATCAGAATATACAGCACATACAACTTCGATTTCACAGTGAAAATGTGGATATGCTGTTTCATCTTAACATTTATTTAAGTTTTCCCACAGTTCAAACAAAACGACATCCCGTTTCAACTGATAAAATAAAAAGAAAAAACCCCACTTCTACAAAGTTAGCCAGTGTATAGACTTTCTTATTTTACAAAACAAAAAGGTAGGAACATGTTACAAAATATTCATCAAACCAATCAGTGTCAATAGTGCAAAGAACGAATTGCAAGTTTAGGAGAAAGAGGGAGGGAGGGTAGGACGGATGGGAGGATGGACGTGTGGGTGAGTAGCTGAACAGGAAGGCTACGAATAGCTGTGCCTGTTACCACACAAAATTTCATATCTCAGACAACTCATGATATAGATTTAACTTTAGTGGCAGAAGAGGGTAAGTACTTCACCCATAAATGATCTCTGTGTGCTGCCAATTCTTGTGCTGGCCAGTTCTGGAGATAATACAGCTATAAACATGAGCTGCTAAGAGGCACTGAAAGGAACTTTTCACCCTCTGGAACAGAGAAGACCTATCAAGGGCTTGGTTAGTTTGTGTACATTCAAGGGCTAAGGAAATTACTGAGAATTTCATGCAAGCAGCAGAGTAAGTGCCTTCAGGCTGAACTCTGTACACCTTTTCCTCTTGCTTTCATGCTCTTTTGCATGCAATTGCTCTCTGTCGTGGGAAGTGAATGATCAAGAGGGAGTTTTAGCAGCTACTGAGTCATGTGGACAGGCAGACCAACAGGTCTTGGATGTCCCGTCAAGTAAATACGTCAGCCAGCAACCCACCAGAAAAGGTAAATTATTTCTGCAATGTTTCTTATGATACTGCTACAATGAAGAACCTAAAATCTGTCTCCTTCATAGGATGACTAAATTTGAGTCTAAATAAAATAAAGGACAAAAATAACATCAGTCAGTTACAGTATTTGTCAGCTGAATTTGCCCATTTTCCTTTGCTAGCAGAGTGTCCATAGTTAATAAATGTAAGAAGCATTCACTAAAATAAGCTCAGCTGCCTGGAGATGTTGTTCATCTTCACTCCTTATGATCAAAGACAGTTTAAGTTTATTTTTCTAGGCAAAATTCCCTGCAATACCTCAAGTCTTACCACAGCACAAAAATGAAACAAAAACATAATGAGAAACAGAAAGAAGGTTGAAAGTGGGAATAACTTCAGGCAGTAACTGTATGCTTACCTTGAAGGCACATTTTCTGCATGGAGTGTTTGAGTACTACAAAGCTTTCAAATAAACCAAAGGACAGTGATTGTATCTTTCTCAAAAGGAGTATTAAACTGAAACTATTCAAAGAGATTTTTCCTCAAGATTAAAAAAAAAAAAAAAATCATCCCCACTACAGGCACAGTTTGTATCTAAATCATTTCTGCTACTCTAAAAATGACAAACTTCTTAGCTCTTTTCCCCCCACTCCCATCAACAGTCTGTCCAAATTACTACTGTGCCCCTATGGATGAAGAGTATACAGTTCAAGTACAAAAAGTTCATATGTGACAGTATCTAACACTGAAAAATTGTCACTGTTTAATCAATCAAGAACAGTGAAAGCCTCAAAAAGGGCACTTAGGATCCTGGTGTTCAAATGCTTAGGGCTCATAATGGTGCTGGACTGAAAAAAGAATTAGGTGGTGATGCCTGGTGATACCAACACTAGATTTTCTAAAAGATTTTGGTTGTTAGTTCCTTTTTGAAAAATCAAACTACTTACTGTAGTGCTTCAATAGGAAACAAGATCTTTTGAAACTCTGGCCAAGGTACTAATCCTAAACTCTTGAAAATTCAGTGGCAGGTACATCAGAAAAATACTCTCCAGAGATCAGAAAGGATTAAAATAGCTTTTTTCTAAACCAGAACAATTTTCCAGTTTTGCCCCTGTAACTCCATGAGGACTGGAAGAGATACTTCTGTTTTACAACCCACTACATAAAGAGAGATCAGAGTCAGGCTCATATTGTCTTTCATTCATTAGCCTTGAATTTAAAAAAAAAAAAAACAAATCAGTGATAAAGAGGTAGATAAATTAAGTAAATCCAGAAACCTCCAGTATGTTAATCTTTTATTTTCTGGGGCATTAAATATTCTGTGGCTGGAGTATGATAGAGACTGCATAGTTTAGGAATTCAACAGACGTTGATATTCCTTTGATTTTCTCCCCTCTTTAAGAAGTACGACATAACTTTGTTTACTTGCTATTACTCATTTGTTTTTTAAAGGGTTGGGGGGCAATAGGCAAAAATTCAGACACTGAGCCTGCAGATCAGAGCAGGAAATCTCTTGACTGTTTCTTTCACAAAACATTCTCACACTTCCTCAGCAGCATCTCAGCACTCCTTCAGCTTGGTTTTGTTGGATTTCTTGCTAGTCCTTTTAACTTTGACGAAGCTTAGAAACTGTACTAAGATGAAGTTTAGAAACTGCACGCTAGGAGCTGCAGTGAAAAGGAAAAACGCCCAGAAGTTCTTTGAATGCCTTTGAAAAGAAGGGTGAATCTTGTGGAGAGGAGTTGCCATGCAACTCATCACAGCCAGCCTGCAGCAGAGCTGAGAATCAGTCATGAATTCAGCCCCATGCTGTCAGTTATTTCGAAACCCATAAAAGTTATCATTTAATAAATAATAATTCTTTGCACTTTATCAGTAATTTCAATCCACTGATCTCAAAATGCTTTGTCAAAGTTAATAGCATTCTTCCATGTAGAGAGAGATGTTGCAAGTGCTTAGTACTAACTGCTGTGCTCCGAGGAGCTCCCTGGGCTTCAAGTAGGACTACCTGCAACGTGTTTATTAAGAAGTCCTAGAAGGACTGACACTTTATGTATTTACAGTGATGTACATGTGTAAATCTATATCACTAGTTCCACCAAGGCCTGGAATTTAGATGCATATAAAAGGAATTTAGAAGTTCCTTAGAATTTGTTTTAAATTCTACCACTACCAGTTTTAGACTCAATGTAATTAATCTCATGTTTTATTTGGGATTTTAACATTGTAGTGATTTTTACAGGAGTCACAGTGAAAGCAGTAAATGGAGAGTGTATTAATTTTCTGTTATATGAAATGTAGAATAGAATAAATTTATAAATTTATAAAAAAGCTTTCACTTCAATTCACTATGATTTTAAATTACATTGCCAAAGCTTTCCAAATGTGTGATTTTAAAGTCAGTAGTAATCTTTCAAAGGATAAATGATTTAAGAATTTATCTTTTTTACATTTAAAATTACCACAAGACAAAATATTATGCAAATCATGGAAAGAACTATAACAACTGGGTACTATGAACACTGTTTTCTCTGAAAATATATTTTTGCTTTTTGCATTTTCATTTAGAAAGAAGTTTTAAAACTTGCTGTTACTTTCAGCTAAGTGGAGATAAAAAAATCTCCATGACTGAAGCTTGTTTTTAATTTTTGAAAAGAGATTTTGGGTCCCAGTTAGTGAGGGTTTTATAAAGATACAAGTTATTTATATTGTAGGTTCAAGATAAAACAGTGAAGTAATATTGTGCTGGACAGACTTCCAAGGATTTTCAGGAAGGCAAACAACACCGTCTGTTAAAGTAATCGTGTTCTGACATTTCAATAACCACCCACCTTACCTATCAAAAAAACCCCCAAAAAACCCAACCAAAACCAAACCCCAATGTTTTTCCCTTAAATACCTTTCTAGGCAGGAATAATCTAATCTTAGCAAAGTCTCTCCTATTATGACACACATTCCCTGTTACTAGCAGCTGTAACCATCTTCTGTCAAGATAACAGAACAGCCCAGGCTAACAAATAAAAAATTTAAGAAATTGCCGAGGCTTCTTGTTACTTGTGCAGACTCCAGAAAATGTGCACAATGAGATGTTGTTGTTCAGGGGATGAGACAGGAAGGGGTGAATAGAAGAACAGCTACATCATCAGTGGTCCTGTCTGTAGTGCATCTGCCTGACCTTTTACTATGTTTAAGATGCAGAGTGTGTTGATGCTCCAGAATGACGCTCAACGTTTTCACTCTGTTGACCAGTTCAGAAATGAGATTTTATATAATTTATCACCCGATGGTCCCTGGTGTTTTTTCTCAGTTCAGCAGAAAGTGAATCTGCCAATGACCAAACCAATAAGCATACAAAAAAAATGCTTAACATAGGAGGGCAGGACTGTAAGTGAGACAAAGGCTGCTTTCTGGTTTGTCTGTGATGATGTCCAGACCATACTTCAGTGCAGAACCTAGAGGTGAAGAGGCAGAAAAGGCAGGCTCGACTGTAATACGAGTTATTCTGTCTATACCCCAACTGTAGTTAAATCGTTCCAGCAAAAGCCCACGGGTCCACTCCAAACAAACCACTGACGAGCTTCTTCTCAAAGTATGGATCATCACAAGGAAAAATGCTCCTTAGAGCATTATTTTAAAAGTTGTACTCCACACTTTTCAAAAGAAAAATACCAAAACCCTGCAAGTCCTTCCTTCTAGGTCTGCTAATTTGACCGCCTCTCTTGGGACCTGCAGACTGATCTTCCTTCACTGCGTAGCACATTCATTGACATTTGCAGTATCTTCTCCCTTCAGATCCTCATTCAAGTTTTTTTTCTGCTCTATTTCAACCTGTCAGAGGAAAAAGAGGAAGAACATTTGTAATGAGAAGGAATACAAAAGATTCAAAAATCTTCCTTAGTGGTGGTTTGTGTCCTGCTCAGGTGAAGAAACTCTTGGTAAACTGAGAGGGCTGTGAAGAGAAATAGAATGAGAAGAGAAAGCTGGATTTTATAAGTGCTTTCAGTCTAATTCAAACAGTTTTACGATACAGCAGTGTCATGACATCATTTACAGAAGAGTTAATGCCATGCAGAGAACTGTTCTCACATGATTTTATATTCATTATCATCCCCAGCTGTACTCTGAATCGAAACCCAGAACTTAATCTGCAGAGGATAGGTGGCTTCCTAAGTGACAGCAGAAGACCAGCCTCAATTTTAAATTCTGCAAAGACTGATGTCTAAAGCAAAGAGATTCATTTTCAAAATGCACATCTACATTTGTGTTCTAAATTTCAACATCTCCGAAAACTCAGGGATAATCCAATGTTTAATTCTCAAAAGGGATACTTTGGAAGATCAAATACCATCTCCACAGAATTTAAGAGACTACTAAAAATGTAACTACGATTACTATTAAAAATATTTGTCATGAGAATCTTTTCAGTATCTCTCATCATTCCTCTTAAAGAAAGCAGGTAGGATGCCAATTCCTCTGCTGAGTAATCAGCTAACATGCAAATTTTGGCATACTGAGATTCTTGGCAGGTATATATGTAGTGCATTTTCCCATCTGCTCCTCTCCTTGGGGCAGGAAGGGAGAAGAAATATTTAAGCAGAGAAAGAATGGGATCCTTTTGTCTGCTGTAGCATTCCCACATAGCTGCTATGAAGAGCAGCAAAATCCCCTGTTCACACTCTTACCGTATCAGCTAATCCCCAGTAGCTGGCTCGTGTATGCTCTTCCACAAAGCAACTGCAAGCAAGTTTATTCCATCTTCACCACACACTTCGCAGGGACAATCCACTGCTTGTTTGGCATGAAGCAACAGGCTGCACATGGGTAGCTACCGCACAGAGCCTGGCACATGCCAAGTCCCCGTGTCATCTGCCCATGGTATTTTATCATCTGCCTGCACTTTTCAAGACAATGAAGTATACAAAGAAACCATGGTGACTGCCACATACTCAGTTTTACCTTGTAACTGTAGTGTGCTGAATAATTGACCCACTTCCTCACGTCAGTCTTGTCCTCAACAGAGATGGACCGAACAGCGGCTTTGGATGCAGAAGTGGTGGGCATGTCAAATTCTACATCTACATAGCGGACAAAACTCGAAGGCACTTCCCGGTCAGAGCCAAGCTCTAGGTGACAGAAGAAGCAGTGAGGATGGCCAGAAGCTGGAAAAAGAGAGCAAACAGACATGAAAGTTGTGTTGCATGGATCAGAAAACACAACATCTAGGAGGGAGCAACATCATGAAACTGCATGAACTAGTTTGTGGCAAGTGACAGTATCTTACCTGTTTCAATGCTGTTGGAATTTCCAGAGGAATTAAACAAACTGCAAAAGGGACTGCCAATCACTCTAGTTTGCTTTTAGTGGTGAAAATACAAGATGTAAATCAAGCACAGCAGCGTAAAGGTATTTCCCCTCTGCTGATTCTCCCAGTGTATGTAACATGCTAAGTACATTGTGACACAGCCTTCTGAAATGTCATGTATTGGTAGTAAGGAAAGGTGGGACTTGGCAGATATTTCATGTTTATTTTAAATTGTTATCCCCATTTTTAGTAAAAGAAAATATACTGGATAAAGTTAAATAACTTTCCTGGGTTCATAAAGCAAATCTGTGAACAGCTTGGAAATAACTCTATTCCTTACCCTAACCCATGACAAGGTGGCTAGTCACTAAAGATGGCAAGGTGAGGAAGTAATCATGTTTAGCTCTGTCATCTGTAAATGATAAACCTTGTTATTATTTCCCCCCCTTTGTTTTGCTGGACAGCAGTGATGTTCAAAAATTAAAGTAAGGACTGCTAGTCAAACTAGGTTGGTTTTCTGACTGCTGCCAACTCCCTAAGCTCTTGGGCAAATCACTTAAGATCTGTGCCTCAGTTTCTCTGTCTGCAAAATGAGGATGAGTGCCTTTAAACAGACCTTGGGCTTTCTGATTGAAGGGATCCTATTATCTAAGTATGTGTAAATGAAAGTAACGTATAAATAAATGAATGGAATCCTTGTCTGGTGCTATTACAGGCTTTAGGATTTCTGACTACTTCATTGCGAAAGTTCTTCTCCATACAGCTCAGCAAGGTGTACAGGACAGAGATAAGGAAGAAGGAAGGCAGGCAGTGTGAAAAGAACTGGGTGGGGAAAGCCCAGAAGCTCCCGCTGGGAAAAGGAGGAAAACACCACCTGCAAAGGTCTTGCAAGCCCGGGCCTTGAAAAAGAGGTCAGCTCCTCATGCAGAGCTTAGCCCAAAAGTCAGCCTTGTTGAGCTGAAGCCTGAAAAGCAAGATGTGGGATTTTGAGATATTACTTGTCCCAACAGGATGAAATTGAGCAGTCTTTAGCATGCTTAGGGATTGCAACATCCTGCTTCAACTCTGAAACAAAGTTGGAAAAAAATTTCAACTTGGTGTATGTCTGGGTAAAAATTTTATCTAGAGTCAGCCTTGTATACCTGACCTAGTTGAAGATGTCCCTGCTCACTGCAGAGGGGTTGGACTAGATGACCTTTAAACCTTTAAAGGTCCCTTCCATGATTCTATGATCAGTGTTTGTTAGTGTCATGAATGTGAGGCACACAAAGCACAACTTATATAGATTTCCCATTTGTTCAACAGGCTCATTCAGAGCTTTTTCTCTAAAGGACAGATACACTTTTTAGTAAAATCAGGAGGAAATAAACAGATTGCTTTTGTTTTGCACCTCTTGCTTCTTAGAGCTACTAACACTTCATTCTGACAATCAGGGATCTGATAATTCATATATACACACAGGTTACTGTGATTGGAGGGAATCTGTTCCAAAAAACTATGATGTCCCAACATGTCTGGATTAAAGGATTTCATTTACTTCAGAAAGTATACCAGGCAGCACGCCCGAGATCCACAGCCAAACTAGACCAAAGTTCAAATATCCAGATCCAAGGCTCTGCATAGAGGCTATATCCCAGCTTTGCTAGAAGAGCATTTTCCCATGATCGAAGACTGGGTGGATGTTTTCTTAATATTCTGCTGGTGGATTAAAAAAATGCAAATGTGGAACCCAGCCAGCTGCAACTGAAGCTCTGCAGAGCCTGTAAAGAGGCTTTCTTTATCAACTGTTTTGATCATATTCATTGTGAATATGAGAAGGGCAATAAAGTTTAACAAACTATTTTGGGAAGGATTTCAGCAATGTGCTCAGTAGAGTCCAATCCACAGTTTTTTCTTAGGTCAAATCATAGTCAGAGTACACACAGTACTTTACACACTTGCTTTTCAGTGTCCAGTCATAAGCAGATGCTTTGGCTACAAAATAGACAGTGCCGATAACAAGTTCCTATAGTGAGAGTGCAAAGAGCCCCATCCCATTAGAAAGCACAAAGAGAAAACATTTGGATAAGACAGTGAAGCTGCTGAAATAATTCCTAACAAATTGAGTGCTGGGATACTACAAGCTGAATGTGAGCAGTGAGCTTCGGGAGTGACTGGCTGTCCTCCCCTGCAGGCTGCTGTACCGGCTGTCAGGGCAGACCCAGGCAGGGCTGATGGTGTCACGCGCCTCACGTCCACACAGAGCCTGCACCATTCAGGGAATGGAGTGAAGCACAAGAGGTCCAAGTGGATACCTAGAGACCTCTGGTCTTCCTGAGATCGTGTTTGCAAGATGTGTCTTTGTCACATTTGACATGTTTGATGTGTCAGAGCACAAAATGTGGATTAACAAAGGGTCCCATAGTAAGTTTGTGCCTATGTATGTAGTGCTTTGATACGCACGTGTGCTGGAGGGAGGCATGCAATGCGTACACCCCAGGTTGTGTGGACAGGTTGTGTGGCCTCTGAAGGAAGGGTGGAGCTGGAGACTGTGGCTACCTGCAGCATTTCCCTCCAGCTGCAGTGATGCCACCACCTCTCTCCTGCTCTGGAGGCCCAGGCACCAGAGCAGTTCATTAGCAGACCAAACATTTACAAAGGACCCAGAGCGCTCTTAGGGGTGACCTGCAGGTGCCACATTAAGAGAGCACAAAGTGTGACTTGGGAATATTTTTATACTTAGTGCTTAAGAACTGCATCATTTATAGGGACTTCTGCAAATAGGTGGAGGCGAGTTGTTATATGACTTGTGGGTAGGGCTGGATACAGCCAAGCATGCAAAGGGTTGGGAGTAGACACATCAGTATCATGTGGTCAGAAGTGTATATGGTCCATCAGGCATATCTAAGAAGGAGCAGGAATCAATGCTTTTGAGCACCATTTATATCCCTCTTTGTTTGCCAGATACTTCAAGTATGGAAAACCATGGGACAAGTACCATCAAGAGACGTAAATAGTCCCTGAGAGGCAAGGTCAGATTTAAACTACACTTGGCTGGCCCTGTCATCACTTTGGGATTCCCTCCCTCGCACATACCTCATGTGTCCTGGCCTGGACAGTGCTTGCAAGGCCCTTCCTTTCCCTGAAATTACATCTGACCTGACGGGAGGGGTGTGGACACTCTCTTCCTCTCAGGATGTAAACAAACACTAACTGCCCTGCGTTCTGCACAGTGACACTGATGGACAGGTGCTCTGTGGCAGAGCTCCAACAGCAGCGCCAAGTTTGGGAGGCATTTCCTCCTGACACAGGGTATAGATAATAAAGCCTCACACTGGGAGAGGCGAGACCAAGGAAACAAGAGATATAGATCCAACATCTCCCTCAAAGCAGAGATGGGTGAGGGAGCATCTCTTCACAGATGGCAGTAGAGCCAGGAGTTCTGCCTCTTCTCCTTGTTTGCTACCAGCATGTTCTGTGACTGTGTTAAAGTCTGGGGGCTTTCATTTCCCCAGCTGTAATATCTATAGGATATACTGAGATCTTTGGAGAGAAGATGCCACAGAAGGCCCAATTTCACAGCATCTCGTTCCCAGAGCTCATGCAGATGGCATAGTGAGATTTTCCTCACAAGCATGTTATAGCTCATAAACAGTCTGAGGTTAATTTTTCATTGCGATATTTTTCTTGAGTTCCCAAGCTCTCTCTTCTTATGCCCCGCATTACAGAAAACACGGAGCCTTCACTTTTGTCAGCGATGCCCCTTCAAATTTGTAACCCATGGTGTAAGCTGGCATCCTTGGGCCAAAATGTGATCCAAAAGATTAGAAGAAATGGATCCCAGTTTTGCTGACACTATAGCTCAAACTCAGGAAAAACATGTGTCCTTAGAAAGTGCCAAATCCACTACAACACTCAACTTTCCTTCAGGGAATACTGAATATGAAAACTCTTCCAGTCACCCAGGTGTATTACTACAGCATTAATAGTAAAAAGTGCATCTCATTTGTAAAAAGCTAGTCTAGAGCAGAGAAATCAAGAAGTAGAATTCACTAGGAATAAAAATAAACCGGAGTTGTCCAGCTTCATTGCACACCATGGATGAAAGGCAGGAAGTGGAATGACTGGCAGCCATGGCTAAAGGGAACAGTAGCTTGCTCATGTTTAATTTGAATGTTTAATTATGAATGTGTTACTAGAACTACAAAGACTTGCGGGTTTTTGTTGGTAGCCTCTTTACAGGTTTAAGCTGGAATCGCCTGTCTGCACTGATTTCAGAAACAGCCACAAACTGGCGCTTGGAATTTTTTTTTTTAATGGTCGCACAGTATCTTCTGTCCTCTTACAATCCCCATTTCAGACACTTTGTAGGCATTAGATAGATATATATAGAACTGGACCAGTATACTTTGCAATGGAAATCACATGTGTTGGAACTACAGCAATTTATCTGGTCTTGTCATTCATCCCTGTAGCATGGTATCTTGCCTTCGCAAGTTAACTGAAAAGGCCCTGCTTCCAGTAGCAGTGCTAAGCACACAGAGATGTTTGATGCCTAAGTAAAAACAGAGACAGAAGGCATATTTTTGCATCTGGAAAACCTAAATCTGTTTTTATCATTAGCAATGTTTGTAGGATACGTAAAACTAGTGCAATGAAAGGTCAGATAAATGCTTCATGCAACTAACTGATGTCCTTTGGTATACTACAGAGGATGATTTATCCCTCACCATGTAAACCCAGCATTCCCTGTCTTCCAAAACACATAACTCCTTTTAGTTTACTCCTGCAGAGATGGTATGCACCACTCACCTGAGTTTTTGTCAGGCAGTCGGTTTATCCTCCATACGATGGAATTAAAGGCATGCTCATACTTGGCAGTTCCCAAAGTTACTCTCATTACTGGCTCAGAACCAGACAGACTGGTTGATCCAAAAGTGGCCCCCTTGTTCACCTTGGCTTTCAAAGATTTCTCCCCCAGGACGCTCTCCCTGCGGAAGTTCTTCACCCACTCATTTGGCACTGGGTAGCGGATCATCACGTTTTCACAAGGGACCTGAGTTAAAGGGTCACAGTTGGAAGAGAACCCAGTGGACATCATCAGCCAGCTCTGCACCTCCACCTCGGCACCATTGATGCTGGCAGCTGTCCTCAGAGTAAAGGGCAAAGTTTTCTCAGCAAAGACAGTTCTGAATCGCATCAGTTCAAACCGGCAGGCATCCAAAGGGTTGAACAGGATGATACGGGAGTTATTAAACATATCCTCATCCACACATGAATGGAATCGACAGCCGTATAATTTAATCCACTTAGTGGTAGTAGTGGGCATAATATCCTGCCTTGCAACTATTTCATTCCCTTTAATCAAGATATCATTAAGGCCCAGTCTGCATTCTGCCAGACCAGAAAGGAAGCTGAGAACATAGATATGGGTCAGCACACTGTGCTGGAGAATCACACTGTCTCCTTTGGCCAAGATGCCATGAAACTCATCCCTGACATCAACCGTGATTTCTTCTTCTTGATAGTTTAGTCCCACTGTGCTCAGATCTGTTGATGAGGTTGGCAAGTTCATTAGCGTGTCCTGCACAGCACTGATGAAGCTAAGGAAGTCTTCATAATCTGTAGTCCCAAGCTTGATGATTTGCTCTCTCTCTGCTGTGTGAGCAATGGCTGGCTTAGGCTGATACTTCTTTTTCTCCTTGTAGGTTGTGCGGTCCAACCGCACACTGTGTATCCTTCCATTCTCATCATAGTTCTGGAGCTTGCGCTCTGAAATCTCATGATTGATTTCAAGTTTGAATTCCCGGAAAGGTTTCTCCAGTCCTTTCTCATAAAAAAGCTGTATACATCCACTGTCAGTCAGCTTGACGTATATTGGTCCCCAGTGCCTGGATGACATAATATTCTTCTTCTCTGGGATCCTGAGCATCATTGGCCATCCGTCCTTTGGCTGAGCTGGTGCCAGGTTAAATAAGGCTGCATCCAGATCATATGGCATCATGGGGTCATCATCAGGCAAGGCAGGGTTGCTCACATGATCTGGGTCTCCAATCTGTAGTTGCTTGAGCTGCTCTACAGCATCTGTGTGGGTTACACTTTTGTTTGCCTCATGGAAACTGATGGTATCAGGCTCTTGATGGAGAATAATGAGAGAGTCTCTTTGGCTTTTGCCTGGAGCACTGGAGAGAGAAGAGCTTTTGGAACGCCTGTCTCGCTCCTCAAAGAATGAGCTGAATGGATTGATGGGTGAGGGCTGGACATCTCGCAGAGATTCATCCAGGAAGGGATTAGTAGCACTCCACGGTGGTGTTTCAACAGAAGGCAACTTGGTTAAGGAGGAGAGATCTAGTTTTTGAATTTTGGAGAGGTCCCCCAATGTGCTTTTAGGACGTTCTCTTTTCTTAAAGGATGTAGTGAGGTTAAAGTTAACATCTGGAGTCTGTGTTTCTGCAGGTGGGGTGTCTGTTTTCAAGGGAGAAAGGTTCTGCGGGGAAAAACTGACTTCATTGTCATCAAAAGTCACCCAGCTGGGAAAGCGAACTGTGGTTGGGGTAGATGAATGCCCATTCATGGAGGTGTTGTTCAGCTGCCAGTTGACAGCCTCCATATCTATCTCTTCATCTTCTTGGAGAGATGAGGAATTGTCTTGAAAAAAAGAGGGGAGGGGAGGAAATTTCAGCTAATTATTCTGAAGTTACCTAGTTCTCTCTGCAAAAAGAAAACCACAGTCTGCACAGTAGTTTGCATGCCCAAGAAAGGCCTATTTATATGCTGAGCAAGAAAGATAGTCAGAAGACTTGGCTAAAATGCTGAAGAATCTGGCAAGAATTAATGAAGAAATAGACAGCTGAGCACAGAAAGGAATGCAGGAAGAAATACAAAAGGAATGACAGCAATGATTGTATTGTTCTCATTCCAGCATAATGACCTAAAAAAGAAACTTAGCCCACATGTTGTAGTGATTTTTTAAAACTTCGCTTTCTAAACTTTCAGGCTGCATTTCTTCTCTCCACTTATCTTCTGTCATTTGCCTGTTTTGTTCCCTCTCACACTTGTTCTTATTTTTCCCTTTCTGTTCCCATACCCTTCGCTCTAGAGAAGAATCCAGCAGAGAGACGGAATGACCACTGAGGAAGAGCACTCCTCCACTCTGTCACCACATACTTGTCTGCACAGTTGCTGTTATCACAAAAGCACTTGCAGATATGGTGAAGGCACTATAAAAGGTGCCTAGGTGGCATTTTTGCCCAGGATGTGTTCAGCAAAGAGTCTCTGTGGTTTACCCAGGGGGAAGGAGTCTGGAAAGTCCTTGGATGTCTCTGAAAAATCTTTCAGAGAAGCTGTGATCTAGGGATGTATGTTAGGATAAGGAAACACATATTTTTGTCTTCTATTGTAGAAGCTGTCCTCACCCTCTGTCAGGACATGGCACCTTTGACTGGTATTTTCTCAGTCTCAGCCTCTGCCAAGACACTCCTCAGAAGCCTGCACCATACTGTGCTATTTCAATCCCTTCTGGAGGAGACAGCCACAGTGGTAATAAGGTGTTTTCCAAAATGAGCATAAATTCTCAAGAGTTCAGAAATTAAAGGGTTTTCTTCCCATTTTCTTCCCACTGGGCTAATGAATCAGAGTGCTCCTCAAAATGAGCACTGCAGCATGAAATTACACCCTGCAGCCGTACCATGGGTTTGTTCTACATATGACAGAGCAGTGCTAGCATTTGTGCCTTCTGCCTCTGAGAGATGCAGAAAAGTGAGTGTAAAATGCAGCACTTGGTATGTATGGCTGTCCACATGTGATTTGAGCATATTTTAAAATATCAACAACATCAACATGAAGAAACTATTTAAGTCATTAAATTGCCACCAGTTCCCAAAAAAGATGACCTTGATTTCCATTCTGCCTCAACCATGATAGACAATTTTAATTTTTATTCCAGTTACCATTTAAAATATGAAATAAGGAATATTCATGTTACACAAAGTCCTGCCATTAGCTCATTATAATGTCTTGGGTAACCTGATTTTCTGGGCCTCTCGTCCCAGCTGTATGGAAGTTCACCCAACCTTTTGATCTAAGGACAAAACACATCATGCAAGTTCTAAGGGTTATTATAATTGAGAATGATATATGAAGCAGAATGATACCAATTTGTTTTTCAAGCCACAATAACAAAGCAATAACAAGAACAGATAGCTTTTACAGACTATCCATGCATTTCAAAGTGTATTTGAAAAGTGGCACTACCTCAATTTCTAAGATTTTCTTCTCTACCCTGCCCTTTCACTCCCAGCTTTGCACAATGCCTCCCTGTAGTCCCCTACCTACTGGTTGCACCACTGGGTACAGTGGTGAGTCCTTAATCTGTTAAGTTTTGCCACAAAACTATAAATAGATTTGTGGGGGTAAAAACTAACAAGCCAACTGATTATCATCCACAACCACATCCTAAGTGAGAAAGCAATGAAAAAAACCACCAAGAATAAACTGATGTTGTTCTGATCCTCGGGTCCGCACCAGTACCTTCTATGTTGTCTCATGCCTTTCCAGTACTTTGGTCAGCAAGCTTGTAGTCCTTTGAAGCAAAGCGAAGGCAATGAAAAGATGCGGTAAGAACCTCTGTTTTTACAGTACTTGTGGGAAAACATCCCTCATTTCTTTTAGGACATCTAAAACTCCTGTGTTTATAAGATCACAGTTTCTTAAGAGCGGACCATCTCTTCCCTGATTGCAACTATAATTCCCCTTGTCCTGTATCTTAGCTTTTGAACTGCAGAAACCAATTGTGATTCCACAAATTAAAGTATTAACACTTCTGGTAAGTCTGAGAGAGGCAGATGAGAAGATCTCCATGAGAGTCCATGAGAAAAACCCACAGAAATCACCTGAAAAATTTATTTCTAAACTGAAAAAGTTTTACAGATTAATTGCTTTTTTGATCCAGATGCCCAGAAATACAGCAGAATCATTAAGATGGTTTCATATACGTTATTATTTGCTTAATTTTATTTTTTAGAAATCAATAAATTGTTATTTGATTTGATATGTGGAAGTGTCAAGTCTGGGCAGTGAAATAATCTTTCTTTCACAAACTAAAATAAAAAGGACATTCTTCTGCTGCCAAAGAACCATATGGTTGCATTTACAAATATTTGAAGAATACAGAGGTGGTTCTAGAAAAGACAGGTTTTTAGCTTTGTCTGTAAGAGAATGACTAACAGCAGGGAGGATAAAAATAACAATATGCTAATACAGCTAAGCATCCAAAGAAAGTTCCTGAGAACTAGATGAAATAGTGTGTGTATCCCAAGAGAAATATTGGAACCTCTGCTGAAAAGGCAAATATAGCATGGTGAAAAATCTTGACATTGCTAGAGGATGGCTGAGACAATTACTTCAGACTTTTCCCTTCTTGACTTTTGATGAGTTCCTGAACATGGGTGATAAAGTTTAAAATGCGAATGTCCTTCAGTTTGGCAGCACCCCAGTAGGTCTGGGGAGGACACTCATGAACTTGTTGCTTTCATAACTGTTTTCAAAATTTCTTCCTACAAAATAAATCAAGATGATAGCTTGCTGATGGAGTGCGGACAGTCTTCAACCCAGAGTGACTCCTGACTGAAAAAGACTACATTTACATAAAAAAGGAAGAAGAAATCATAGAATAGTTTGGTTGGAAAAGA